CCCTCCCCCCGTCATTAGTCAAATGATGTATAAGGCAAGATATGTCTTCTTGGTACTGAGAGGTAGATCCCGAAAAGGGGAACTTCTTGGACGATACCTTTTATTAATACATATTGCCGTAGTCGATATCAGCGATATTTGTCACTCACTTGAAATACACATACACATATATTGCAGATGTGTCTGGCTTCGAGACGGCGCCCGGCGGGACGAATCTGGTCACACTGTCTGCAGGAGGGACGGCAACTCTCAACTTGGTGTACACGGACGGGTCAAGTCCCACGCTAAGCGCCTCCTATGACACAAGTGACGTCGTAAGCGGAGGTACGGTGGATACCGGAGCTAAAACAGCAACGCTCGTAATAGACTCGACCGACAACACTAAAGTTCCTTCTAGCTTCGGGACGTACCTTCTAACAATCAGCCTGACACCGGATTCCGGAGCTCAACAAGACAAACAAGTTGTCATCTTTTATGAGCAAGCCATCACTAACTTCCAGGTAGAGTCAAAACTTTAAATTAACACTTTGTATTGCATCTAAACAAATTTTTGATATCATTGTACAATATGTAGTAAGTTTCCGTTCTGTTTCAAATTTACTTAAACTGTTAGCGCCGTTTTGGATTTCCGCGTTTTTGGTCCATAGCATCACCGATGATTCCCAAAAGGACGAAAAAGCTGTTTGAAATAAACTACATTTTAAAAATGGCTCCCTAATGGGTTATCCAGGCACCACAAAGGGGCATTTGTACAAAAATGCATCAATGACTTTGGATCTCATCAAACAGATAAAGGAATTTAAAGGTCTCATCGGACTAAAACATTGCACACAGAAAAAGATTAGGATGTTTAAATTTGGTCAAAACTATACCACTAACTGTCAATCAAAATGTAAATCTAATTTCTTGAAAAAAGAAAAGTGTCCTGGCACCATACCGAGTGTACAAGGATATGCATGTTGTACATGCATAATTTCCTTCGGCATTCCTTTCTACTCGGAGTGTCCATCGCGTTGCTACCTTTGGGAAGGAATTTCCGAACATCCGTTAGACGTGCCAAATCCACACCCATCCCCGCTTAATTTCATGTGATAGAGGGATAGGGTTTGTCTTAATTTGAGATGGTCTGAGGCCAGAAAAAGCGCATAATACTGCATTAAGTTTAAGTCTGAAAAAAATAAAACCTACATTAAGTTTAAGTCTGAAAAATTATTCTTAAGCGTAGTTTTTTATGGATCAACATTGAATATTTGTGAATACTATGTATCAAAAGGATTTGGGTTCAGTGCATTCTGACGTAAGTGAATCCCATCTCAAAGCAGCAGTTGACATTTCCCCCCCCCCCCCCCAAAAAAAATATATTTGATTTTTTGATTTTTAACATTTCATGTTTGTTGTGTAATATTCAGTTTCATAGTTTAACCAAAAGTTCAAACAAACTCTGTCGAGAAAAGTTATATACTTGTGCCGTTAAAATGTGTGCAGCATGTTTTTATCACTTTTTTTCTGTCAATTCGGGTACATGCAACTCAAAGCTTGAGCAGTATGTAGATCAAAGCTACGGCATCAGAGGCCTTTTGATATTTAAATCATATACCCCCATGAACCTATTCCGTCTTTGCGTATTGCAGAGTTATCTTCTCTTGAAAGCAGGTATTGATTGTTACGTCATTGGTTCGTGTGAGAAAATTACGTAGTTTTCTCAAAAATTGATGACGTTACTCTCACAAAAAAAAGACGTAACAATCAATACCTGCTCTCAAGAGAAGATACCTCTGCGATACGCAAAGACGGAATACTATATTGAGCTACAGATACCAGATTTTTTTTTTTATAAAATCGGGCTGTGAGAATGCTTCTTTTATTCCTAAAACACGTATTTTTTGTTTGTTTTTGAAATGACAATCTCGTAACAAAATATCAAAACCTCCCCACAGTACGATATGTGGTGTAACCTTGCTTTGAAAAATATTGTCATTTTAAAAGTAAAGAAAAGACAGCTGATACAACTGTTTTGTATTTACAACATTATATTGCATCAGTATCGCCATTCGTTGTCTATCTGGCCTACCGCCTTTGTGTTTTTCCTGCAAAAAAATTACATTACATAGACAAGACATGTAACAGATATACAGACTGTTCACGAATTAAATTCCACATATGAATTTTGATCAAAGTCTTGAAAGGCCAAATGCTATCAACACGAAAAAGTTAGCAAAAAGCGATATAAATAGTATATGGCGATAGAGCCAGGCCAAAAATACCATTTTTTGTGTGTTCCATTTATTGTAGATAACGGTTGAGAGTGACGTGGTGGCCATTGGAGAACCGTTTGATTTCACAGTGACACTTGCCACTGGCAGCAATATAGAGTTAGAATGGTTTTTGGATGAAAACTCAACTTGTCTAGAAGAGTACACCGGCGCATTCACAACATCAACCAGGAATCACATTTTTAATGCGACAGGAGAACACAACACCACAGTTGTCGTAGCCAACTCAGTCAGCCGGACTTTCACCAATGTCATTGTTAACGCATATATGCGAATAAACAGCAGTGATTTCACAATTACAAACAACGAAGGGCCAATACAAACTACTGAAACTGTGACCTTTACGGTTAGCCTAGACTCCAGCATCGTCTCTCCCGCGTATGGAAACATCAATTTGGAGGTGAATTACAACAATGGCGACTCTCCAACAAACGTGTCCATAGCTAGCGAATTAGCCACAATGCAGGGAGCTGGTTATACTTTTACCAAAACCTTTGCGACTCAGGGAAACTACACTGTCAATATTCGAATAATCGCAGAGTTGAATTCTGTAGAGTATGTGAATTATGTGTACGTTTGGGACAGCGTCACAGTCTGCCTTTCCAGCGACCTCACAAATGCAAAGACTGGCGATGTTGTAACATTCACTTTTAACAGTGTGCCTAACTCTGGCTTCTTGTACAGTGTAACCTTGGGCGACGGTAGCGCAGATCTAGAGAATGACGAGTCTGTGCTATCGGCTGTCTATTCAGCAGCCACATTAACTCACACATACTCCAATCCCGGTGTATACCTCGTTACCATGGCAGCTTGGAATCCATTCTACGTCAGCATTTGTGATTTTACTATCATCATACAAGTGCCAGTACCAACGATGGTGCTTACTCCTGCAACTGACACTATTCCATATCCAGACGGACTTGTAGATTTTACTTTCGCCATGGCTTCGACCGGTCCAAGTCCGACAAATGTGTCATGCGATTTCGACTTTGACGAGTCACAGGACACGAATGAAAGCACGGAAATTATTTTCGGAACTGATATTTCGAAGTCGTTTATTTTTACGTCAGCTGCTGTGAAAGCTATAAACTTCACCTGCTGGAATCTTGTTTCAACTGAAACACAGACGGCCTCTATCGATGTCAAGGCATGGACCCTAAGCGACTTCACTATCACCCATTTGTCCAAGGTTAGCTCAAACATGACCGCCACTCTCGATGAAAAAGGTTTCATGACGCCAATAAGTGAAGTTACCGAAGTCACTTTTAATATTTCCTTGCTTGGCTGTTCTAGACCTCCTCCTGGTGTTTCGTTTGTCTGGAATTTCGGGGATCAAACAGCCAACGTACCGCAAACAGTATCATCTTTTGATCTAATTAAACACACTTATGCGACAAGAGGCAGTTATTCCCTGATAGTCGACATGACGGCGACAACGCCTGCCGATACATTTTCCCTCACTGGGCAATCCGTGCAAATTGGCATTGGAGTTCTTCATGCAGACACGTACACGGGCACGGTAGGCAGTACCCCTGTCACACTAACTGTTTCAGGACTTGACAACGCCGCGGACATCACGATCTATGCCGGCGATGCTGCTGACACATCGTACCCAACCACTAACGCTTTGACGGCAACTGCTTCTCACCAGTATAACACATGGGGAGCCTTCCTTCCGAGAGCTATAATCGAAAGCACTGGCGAGGTAGAACTAGTGTACATGAACGAATCATACAAAGCCGATTACTCACTTGATGATTTATCTTTGGAATTTTCCAACCTAACTTTGCCTCTTCCTCCCGGAATACTGACAATGAATGTTACAGTCACAGGCGGCGATCGTCCTATGGTCCTATGCAATGTGAACTATGGCGACGCTATAGACAGAGAATGGCATGCATTTGAACACAACATCACAAGTACGTCGCCTATGGCCTTAAACATCACTTACTTAACGCTAGGAGAACATTTGCTTCAAGTGAATTGTTCGAACTTTATCGACACTTTTTACAATGCAAGTGAAGTGATAGCGAGGAATCCATGTTTTTCCTATAACGGAATGTTTATTCGCGATTACGCTGATCCGTCTACACCAATGAAAGCTTTCACCTCAGTTGATACGGATCTAGCTAACGGAATGTCTGTCGTTTGCTTTTGGCTGAATCCAGACTATAAATGGACCCTAATGAGCTGGAATAATGGCGTGACTGTTCCAGTTGGTTATTTGGATACATTAGAACCAAAACCAAAAGGCGCATTGCGGTTTCTAAGAAGCAGCTTACCACCAGGGGTATACGAAGTGTGTCTTAATGTCACACTGGAGGACACTTATGCCTACGAATGTACTTACCTGGGTTTGGTACGGCCTTCACCGTTTCCCTATATTGTCGGAGGAACTGGAAGAACCGCCAAGAGAGGTATGATAATAGTCGACGGTTTCACTGACACCTATGACCAAGAAGGTGGGAACGGTAAAAGAGACGGCCTCAACTTTACGCTCAACTGTTTCAGGTAAGACTTTATAACGGCTTACTGTATACTATGTAATTAAAATGCGTTTTCATTTTGGTGTATTTTTGTCTAAATATCGTTTGCGAATTTACATAAAAGCCTCCTTCATAATGCAAAATATACATGTTGAATGAAACGCGAATTGTTGTATTCGCGATTAAGCGTACGTTTGCAATTTATTTTAGATCATGTAAGATGACAATCTCTACCAACATAGAAGGAGGATAGTTAACCAATTGTTTCCCAAGAAATAACCATGTTATTTACTTGAGTTTGGCATGGATTGCGACCGAACACTTGTGATCAGGTCAAACCTGTACGAATTAACCTTTCTCATCCTATTGCATTTTTTAAAGGTACAACCAAACGAAAGATTGGGTCTCTGAACAATTTGATGCCGAAGGTGGGATTGCGTTCTTTTCTAATGCCTCCTCGAACAAAAACAGCACCATGTTTGACAGTGAATATGTTTGTGATTCTTTCGTTGAAATTTCTCCCGGAAAGATGTTACTAAACGCCACTTCTTACGATTACATGTCATATTTGTTCATCATGCGAGTTGACCTGGATCAGGCTGAGTCGTCCTACTTCACGCAGGTCATGTACGTCATGGAGGGCGATTTCCCATTGGCCACCATTGAGTAAGTTTTCGACAACTACATCTTACAACTTCCAACCAATACACTGGAAGCATTTTTGCTCTTTAATCGGAAACCAAATTAATATATTTGCTTTCCATGTTTCCTGCGTGATTTATGAGACATGCGTGAGACGTGACGCATTTTAACGAAAAATAAATACTAGATCAATTTCGTCGTTATAATTAAACAAATATATTTCTTAGCATTACTTTATTTATGTCCTTTTTATATGTGAACGGATTTTTTTCTTTTTCTTGAAGAAAGAGATATTTTGCAATAACAAGTGGTCGTTGTATACATGTGGTCTTTATCGACAGGTTGTCTTTATAGATAAGTCGTCTTTGAGGTTAACCACTCTTTATCATTAAGAGCTACGTCCATAAGATGGAAGTTCTAAGAGGTTTCTCATCGACAGAAGATCTTTTTTAAAGTTGTTGATTATAAACTGTTAGTTTAAGTACACACTGATAATCTCAATACACTGGTGGTGTTCATACACTGATGGTCTTAATACACTAATAGTCTTAATATACATATGATATTTCAACATATACTGGCAGTCTTGATACTTTTATGTACCCCGGTAGTTGTTATACACTGGTTGTAATACACTGTTGGTATTAGTACACTGACGGTCTTAATTTACTGAAGTACTTAATACACTGGAGGTTTTAATACACTTTCGGTCTGAATTTACTAATAGTCTTAATACACTGTTTTTTTATTGACTGCGATCTTAATTTACTGATGATCTTAATACACTGACGGTCTTAATACACTGGAAGTCTTAATACGCTAGTGGACTGAATTTCCTGATGATCTTAATACACTATTGTTTTATTTACTGCGATCTTAATTTACTGATGATCTTAATACACTGATGGTCTTAATTAATTACTGACGGTCTTAATAGACTGGCGGTTAAAAACACTGACAGTTTTATGTTAATGATGGTCTTAAACCACATTGGTGGATTAAATAGCCAGGCAGTCTTAATTAACTGAAGGTCTTCCTACACTTGCGGTCCTAATTACTGATGGTCTCAATACACTGAAAGTTTTATTACACTTGCAGTCTGCATTTACCGATAGTCTAAATGCACTGGTGGTATAATATACTCAGGGTTTTTATACAATAGAGGTTTTAATACGCATGCGGTCTTAACTTACTTATAATCTATATACACTGGCTGTCTTAATATAATGATTATAATGCACCGATGGTTTAAAGACGTCTTTATTTACAGAGAAACGCAATGCACTGGTGATTTTAAATAAACGATGATCTTAATCTAATTAGGGTCTTTATACACTGGTGGTTTCAAGATGCTGGCGGTCTTACTATACTTATAATCTTAATACACTGGCGGTCTTAATTTACTTATAATCTTAATTCACTGGCGGTCTTAATTTACCTATAATCTTAATTCATTCGCGGTCTTAATTTACCTATAATCTTAATTCACTGGCGGTCTTAATTTACTTATAATCTTAATACACTGGCGGTCTTAAATTACCTATAATCTTAATTCACTGGCGATCTTAATTTACCTATAAACTTTAAACACTGGTACATTCAATAGACTGGCGGTGTCAATTTACTGATGGTCTTCAAACATTGGTGCATTTAATAGATTTAATTTACTGATAGTCTAAATATACTGTTGCTATTTATAGACTGGCGATCTCAATTTATTAATGACCTTTATGCTCTTGTTACATTTAATAGACTGGCGATCTTAATTTTAGTTCAAGTTGAGTTCTCTTTTTTCATTATTTTGTGAAGTCCTCATGAAGGTCATTATAAACAGGTTATATTTATATGCATGTAGTCAATAGAAGCAGGATTCCAAGTTTACTTCTAAGCGATCGTCAGTGTTGCATATATGGGAAGTATACGACCATGTAAGTAACAAAACTTGTAAAGCATGGCCATTGTTACTTGTTTGCATATACACCAATACACTTTTCCTCTTCAGCTGCATCATTAACTGTCGGGAAAAGGTTGCACTGCAGCTTAAAACAAGTTTGAAATGCACATGCACGGACTGTACGCCGGCCGAGGTGCCCGATCTGACGTGCTCCTGGTCACTTGAACAGATCTTGGCTAATGGAAGTAGCGTCGTTGTTCCAGATTTCGCTAGCATGACTGAAACAGGTTTGTGTTGAAAATGAGAAAATAAAAAAGGTCTTTTCTTTTGCTATATTTCCATATCCCCCAATAAAGTTAACAAGTTTTGATCTGATCAATTTTAGGATGAATTTCCAATTGTTGATTTGATTTCATTTCAAATCGATTTTACCACCATAAGATTATAACTGGACGAGACACAGACATCGCCTCTTAAGCCTTTCCATTGCTGATGTTTTGATATAGTTTGATGGCTATTTATCATAATCAAGGAAGTGTATACCCAATATTATTTCATATAAATTTTACTTATTATACTAATTATACAAAGAAACCCCTAATAGCCCTGATATAAATTATACTTACTATACTAATTATACAATGAAACTTAATAGCCCTGATACGCCATGAATTCATTTAGGTTGGATTCAGGTGCAATTTGCAATAAGAGGGACCCTGTATTCAGTTTACCTAGCTATGCTTACTTCAAAATAATTATATATATAAAATATTATATACAAATAAATATCAATCCATTAAAATGCGCTTGAAGTTATTTTAAATTCAATTTTTAGGAGTGACCAAAATTATTCCTGAAGTAATACAGTATACATGTATAAAGAAATAAATGTGTTAAGTTTTGGACATTTAGTGCTTCTCAAAGTTATGCAATGTATACAAACTAGTGTCCCGATACACACATGTAACATATTCCGTCTTTGCGTATTGCAGAGTTATCTTCTCTTGAGAGCAAGTATTGATTGTTACTTCATTGGTTTGTTTGAGAAAAATACGTCGCTTTCTCAAAAATTGATGACGTTCCTCTAACAAACAAATGACGTAACTATCAATACCTCCTCTCAAGAGAAGATAACTCTGCAATACGCAAAGACGGAATAACCACTTAGTGGTTATTTTTTGATTTTTGAAAAGTAGAGAGTGGTAAAAAGATTAAAAATTACAGAATTAATCAAAATAATATAGAAATGACAGACATTCATAGTGAAGAAAATAGATGGTTACACATTTGATAACTTCAAATTCGAAGGAAAACATGTTAAACCCTTTAGAATATATGCAGTATATTGTCTTTAAAATGTCGTTGTAATATGATCAGGGGACCTGACCGTCTAACAATTAGCACTCTATCACTGGGTCGCGGGTTCGAGGCCTACATGGGACAGTCCCAGGTATTGGCAGCAGGTTGGTGTTTTTTCAACACGTGCTCCGGTTATCCTCCACCACTAAAAATCCGGCACATCCTTAAATGACCATAGATGTTAATAGGACCTAGACCACAAATAGACCACACCAAGTTTTATGATTACGCGATATAGAGTTCCATTATTGCTCTGCAAACAAATTTATACTTATCATATCTATTTATAAGGTGTAACGGACCAGTCTTTAGTAATCAAAGAGGATGTGCTGGAAGCTGGGTTTATTTACGAGACAGTGCTCTCAATGTCCTTGCCTAATCGACTCAAAGTTGGAAGAGCTGTCATGACTTTGAAAGTCAACTTACCACCCTATGGAGGGACCTGTTCCATCACTCCATTAGAAGGTAAAAGTCTTATCACTTATTATTCTTCAGAAGAACAAATCAGTTCATTCTATATTCATTACTCAATCAATGCACTACATTTAATATTCATCATTCAATAAATGCACTACATTCAATATGCACCAATCAGTAAAAACATTTTATTTTATATGCATCAATCAATAAATACATTTGAATGTTTTATTCAACGATCAAATACATGTGCATTGTATTCGTTATTTATCAGTTAATAAATACAGTTATTTTCTGAAGTCACCAAAGAAATTCAAATATACTTTATTCTTTATTCATAGATCTTTTAATGCACTTTATTCTTTATTTATAGATCTTTTAATGCACTTTATTCTTTAGCAATAAATCAATAAAAATATATAAATGCATTACCTTTTTTATTTATCAATTGGAAACAACTTTTTTATAGGCATCATTCAATAAATCCACTTTATTGTATATTTATAAATCAATTAATACATTGCATTGCTTTTTCTTCAATGAAAAGTATATTATGTGTTCATCAATCAGGAAATACAATACGTTATTTCTTCATTAATAATAGACACACTGCATTCTATATTCATAAATCAATAACCACATTACATTATATATTCATAAATCAATAACTACTCTACATTCTATATTCATTAATCAGTAACTACACAACATTCTATATCCATTAATCAATATATTCACTTCATTCTTTTTCACCATTAATAAATACACTACATTCTACAGTCATAAATCGATATATTCACAACATTCTATATTCATTAATAGATATATTCACGTCATTCTTTATCACCATTGATAAATACACTGCATTTTTTATTCATTAATCGATATATTCACTTCAATATTTTTCACCATTAATAAATACACTATATTTTATATTTATAAAAAGATATGTACAAAACAATTTTTTTCATCAATCTACAAACTTTTGATGTTGATCTGTATACTAGGATATGCCATCACTGGGAAGTTTGACGCCACGTGTACAGGCTGGAAGGATGAAGGCGCTAACGATGGAAGAGACCCTGTAGAGGATTTGAAACAAGTGTTGACATACGAGTTCGTCGCGATACAGCGATACGGGACCCCCGAGGAAACTAGGTATCCTATTACTAAGGGAAGTAAGTAACCAACTTATCACTTAACATTTTAAATGAAGAATCATATCTTCTAAATGTCTTAATTATTCTTTAAGAATTTTTAATTTGTCTGTAACAAGATTGGACGTTTCGTGTGCTTGTATGAGAAAATTAATACGATCAAACAAGGGACCAGCTATCCTTCATGATGTCCAGATTAACATATATTGTTGAACATTTACACATGGATGGATGTTAACGTATCATATAACAATACAATGTGTCGTGGAAGGTGACCGGTACTGCATTTTCTCCCAGAACCACTATATTTTTCTCACTTCCACAAACACTATAGGTTTCCTCACTCTCGGCTCATTGGTTAAACCTATTAGGAGTTGGAAAATATTTTTATCACCCACTGGTAACACTCTGAGTGTTATTCTTTGGTCAATCTTTTAATTATGACGTCACATAATAGTACTTTGTGGCGTAATCTTCCATTTTGACGTCATAGGAAACAGATATCGGTCTCCCGAAGAGAAGCAAATGGTTTTCTAGAACAACTGAACGCTGTGGGAGAAAATTGTCCCCAAACTCATGAAAGTTTATCATGCTTATCTAATTCTCGTTAGTTATTGTTTTCAAATTGTGAAAAACTCTTTGTGAACCTCGTGTCGTTATACAATTTAAAGATTAACTAACTCGAGTTAGAAATACACGATAACCAACCATCACCCGTTGGGTAACCTCTTTATTACTATAGAATGTGTCGTGGAAGGATTTACGCATTTCACGAGTGTCATACAACATATCTTAGCATGTGACTTGTATTGCGTCATTTCAAGACAATCTGTCAAGGTAGATGTAAAGGAAGTATCATTAATCAAGTGTCATTGCGAGTCTATTGTGAATAACAAGAGACTATATTATTTATCAGGATTACATAATGTTTCGTGGTAGGTGACATTTATAGTATCATAACTGGACATTTTGTCTTGATAGTTGACATTTGCAGTATAATAACTAGATATTTCGTTAGAATTTTTGACCTTGTAGTATCATGTCTAGGCATCATCAGTAGATATTTGTCGTGATATGTGACACTTATGCGTTATAACTTTAATTTTGTCGAGGTAAGTTCAATTTATAGTATTTCGACAAAAACACTGTTGTGATAGGTGACATTTATACAAATGTAGTATAGTAAGTAGACATTTTGTCTTGAAAGGTGACGTTTATAGTATCATAGCTATCCATTTTGTCGTGATAGGTTACATTTATAGTATCATACACTATGTAACTGAACGTTGTGGTTGTATTTTACCATATTATAACAGTGTTATTTTTAGTGACATTTATAGTATCATAACTAGACATGTTGTCGTGGTAGATGACATTTATAGTATCATAACTAACTATTTTGTCGTGATATTGGCCGTTTATAGTTTTATAACTAGACATTTTGTCGTGATTGGTGACCTTTATAGTATAATAACTGGACATTTTGATGTGGTAGGGGGGCATGTATTGCATCATTATTGCACCATTTTTGTTGTTAGTGACATGTATTGTGTAATTACTGGACAAATGTATCAAGACGTATCTTGCTTGCTTTGAATAGATGCTGCCGCAGCTAGCCAGATGGACCTCCAGGTAGGACACCCCGACGTCCAATACAACGTCACTATTGGTGTCTACATCACGGATTACTATGGAGATAAAACCGTAAACTTGGAGTCGGTTGCCAAGGTGTGTTACGTATAACAAACTTGGGGCATATTTATAGTTGGCCAATTGTAATTCGATTTGCAGATACATTGTAGCTACGCTTCTGCGAAAACATACTATTCTATTAAAATATTTCGCACCTTTTTTAGGATATTGATATTTTTAGGTTGCAGATTTTATTATGTATCGTGCTTTAAATCAGGGGATAACCCTACTGTATTTTGAAATTTGCCACAGTGTATCGTGTTTATACTGCCGCAAATTGAGTTTTAATGTCGTGTTACATCTCAAATGAATTAGAATTTCAGGTAATGCATTACTGCGACTGGTGAAATAGAATTAAATTCACTTAAAGATTTTATGTTTCGAATGAGATTTTGAAGACTTATTTGATAACACAAATCAGAATCAAACATAGTTTGTCAAATATATCTAATTTTATTTACATTTTTGCAGATGTAGTTTTATATATTGACTACAGCAATCCTCTCCCGTTTTGGACTGCCGAAAAATGTAGCTACGACTTGAACACTGTTTTATTTTGCATGCTTGAAGAGCAAACCACACATTGCGAGTCTTTTTATGAATAAATAATGAAGATGAGATAAGTAAAATATTATCATCAGCAGTGTCCTGAAAGTAAACATTCAGCGGGACTAGAACAGGATTCGAACCCTTAACTTCAAATGTGTTTACTATCGCTCTAACCGACTGAGCTGCCTTGTCAACCGAACTGTGCTGTCCAAATGTACTACAGTTACATACAAAAGGAATTTAAGGGGGATGGGGATACTGTGTAGACGAACATTGAACCGTGCAGTGGGAGAGGAATCCTTCAAGAAGGCATATTAAGTACATGAAACCAAAGCCAGTGCACATAGTTGTCATTTTCCTCTTTTGCGATGACTATCAAATGTTAGACGCATTCCACTGCGGCCCCTAAAAGCGAAATGTGTAAGTAAATGGGTCATATATGTACATTTTAAATTTTACCTTACATGGTTTCAGGTTCAAATGAACGAATCCATGGTACCCAGTAATCCAAATGATACTGGTATCATTGCTGACCTCTTCAGCACCTTCAACGAGTCTAGGCAGCAACTGGAAGCTGGAGGCAACACGTTAGCACTCGTAACTGCTGTTGGTGTAATGGGCTCCTTTATTTCCTCTATCCAAGTAAGTATAGCGAAATGTTTAACATGTAGTAACTATTTCATATTTACAATTATTTGTCTCTCCTCTGCAACCTGAACAAAAATGAAAACGAATATCTTGAATAAGAAAATAGCCACAACAGGTGTTTTTTGACCATCGACACAGTTTAAGGATTATAGGGATAAATAAATATAGCTTTGAAAATTGGCATACAAAACTATAGAATATATTGAATAAAGAAAAGAAACGTCAATATGTTCCCTTGTCAAAAACCTCCAATTTAACAACATAAAAAAAAACAACCAAAAACGACGGATCAGTTATTAACAACGTCGGGTATGGTTGAATTACTGAAACTCGATCTTTTCAAAATATAAATGCCATGCATGAATATCGTCTGTCCAGTATGATCTCAAATGCATCTGATAAAGTAATTACTCAAAAGCGAACATGGAGCGAGCGAGTCATTGGTATGCTGATTCAGGTGATTCAACAAAAAAGTCGATATTCATGGCAGACAACTCATTGTTGTTGGCACCGTTTCAAATAGATTTGGTCGACATCCGACCTTCAAGGCCGTGTAGACAACATGTCACCGTCCCTTAATAACCGGTCTTACGTCATTTAGAGGATAAAATACCTTTTGTCATGGTAGCTGCAAAAACCTTTTATGGCCGACGTTTATTTGCCCGAACACATGGATATTGTTTGAAATACAATCGAATGCACAAAAAAGACGGCATTATTTTGGCTCCAATTTGACACTTCATTATTGTGGGAGCTACTTAAATGGACCGTTAAACACTGCCGAATATTGTTTAAGAGGGTTGTCATTTTGATGATGTGCATACACTGTATACCTGGAAATTTCGCCCAGTCACATTTTCGCTCTTCGCTGGAATAATCCCTATATGCAAAGTGTTAATTTCGCCATTCACATTTAATTGAAATGCTTATTTTGTTATTTACATATGTTCGCTGTACTGATAAATTCGCCCTCATTACGGCGGCGGTTGAAAATGGCGAAAATTCAACTGCAGCGAAATATTTCGGTGTACAGTATCATTCCGGATAAGCCTCAGTTGTAAAGCACATGATAGACACAGTAGCGGTCCTGAATTCGACCTCTGCATATGTATTTTTTTTTCAAATGTTAAATTTTTGAACATGAACCAATTCCGTAAAATGCGTCGTAATATGTGATTGATATGGAATATATCCTTTGAGACGGTCATTAATGAATTATTTTCTTTACAGTCATAGTGGTCGTATATCTACGCAATACTACTCTACCAGTACTGTCTTATAACCTTTGAAGAATATTCTTTAATTTTGTTTTAATACGTCATTTTTTATTATGGAGATTTAAGAGTATATCTAGTAAGCATATTTGTGTCTAGCCTAAGGACATTAAGTGCAATACTATGTATTTTCTTATTTTAGTTAGGAGGACAGGTAGGAGAATTGCTAAAAGAGGTAAGTTGCATTAATTTACTCAGTGAATATAATGAGGCAAAGAGGGGGGGGGGGGGGGGGGGGGGGGGGGGTATCAACTGTTAGTGAAAATAACTCATCGATATTTTTTTTTTTTATGATAGAAATTAGTAAATTTAGTGTCTAATCAATAAACCGTTGGCAATAATTAATTTTCACTCCTTAGCATCATACTACATGTATATACATGTACCTACTATATACAAGTGTGTTATAATGTGCAAACTTACAATAGCTAGAAATATTACTAGTCTAGGCTAAGTAAAATATTTTTCATAGAGTTATATGGTATATTCATTGAATATGTATTATTGCATTAGGTTCTACATTTTCCCATTGTTTGTCACTTAGTCTAAATACGTTCTAACGCCAAGTATGACACCTGTTTTTCATGTTGAATTATTGAAAGTAGTAAGCCTTACCTTTACATGTACTGTATGTCAATATACAACTGAGAGGATTTGCATCGGCTTTTGGCACTGTATCATTTTATTGTCATATTTTTCAGAAAAACCTTGAACTGATGTCTATGCTGGATGCAGCTGTACCAAACGGCACTGACCTTAGTATGAGCGCGACTGGCAATTTGCTAAATGGAGTGAACACTTTGCTTTCTAACCCTGATATAGTTACCGACAAAGCCATAGTAAGTCCTCTACCTCACGCACTTTGCAGATATTCGTATTATCAATTTTAACATAAAATAATGAAGGAAACATGTGTCATTCTATTGTCGTTGATTAAGAAATACATTACATTCTATGTACGCAATGAACAAAAGTATATAAAAAAAAAAAAAAAAAAACCCAGTTTATAATCATCAATTGTAATAACCAGTCTAGTCACGAATTTAGATATTCGACAATCTATACATATGAATATCCTAAAATTTATTACATTCTTATGTCATTATTTAAGAATAATGATGCAGTTAATATTCCTATATCAATTTTAAAGAAATGTGTACTTTTCGTTCGTTACGGGACAAAGGAAAACCTAAGTCGCATTTGAACCTGAACAAATCAAAGACTGGGAAAGTCCAATTTAAAAAAGTAGGGGTGACTGAGTTAAGCATACACATATACATGTATATGCTTTGTATATGCTTAATGTTATTTTGAGTCATTGATACACGTTGATGCATTAGATGTTCTAACACACCTCGAGAAAATCATAACTGTTCTTAAACACCTCACAGTATCCTCTGGTATTAGAATAAGTATGTAATTATTTGAGCTGATGTTATATGTTTTAGGGCTCTGCCATGAACATTGCTCACCAGCTCGCCGAGTCCCTGGAAAGCAAGATCAATCAGAAGCCGTTTCCTATGGAAGATATAGGAAGCATGACAGCTGTCAGTGAAAGTACGTCTGGTTTTACTGAATCACTACATGTAATTTGATGTTGAAAATTCCAGAATAATATTTTAATAGTTATTTACTGGGAGTAAAAACACATAAAAAACTTAAACTCGGGTGTATACATTGTGTAATATTCTGCCGTTGATAGTTGTTTTCATTTAGGATCTCTTTCCCAAGGCAGGCAAAAAACATTTGTGAAATTCACGGTGGATTTTTTTGTATAAACCGTAACATCCCGTTAATTTTGGTTTGTTTGGATATAACTGTAGCGCAGTTGGGTCCGACACCTCCGTTGGCCAAGTATAATATTTGGTTAAAAGACGGTATATAACGATCTGAGGTCCAGGTTTCGAGTCCAGGGCCCGTATTCATGAAACCGTACTCATGCCCAAGCATGGATTCTGTGCTCAAAGCAATTTTCTTATAACTCACTCAAAAAGTCAAATGTAAAGATTGAAAACAGTTTTCGGGCTTAAGTCTCTTCAATATTTTTTCTAAACCATTGACAAAATAAGAATTTTTTATTAATTTATAACGAAAACAAGAAATTCGGATTCATGAACGGTTTCATGAATACGGGCCCATGTCTGGCCGTTTTTACATCCTGAGCACTGTTGTTGATTATATTTTGCTAAAATAATCTTTATTAATTTTTCCTAAACGTGCCGCAAAGTAATAGTATTCATTACAGTTAAAGTCACGTCGGAAAAAAGTTTTTCAAAGCGTAATCATTGTTTTGGTAGTGCTACGGGGATCCTTAAAATATAAAAACGCTATTCTCACTGACATGAACTAACTTACCTCTGACCAAGCGGGCTCATCGTTTTGGCAGTGCTACTGGAATCCTTATTAAATAACTGTTAATTGTGTCTATTATACTGAATTCATATTACTGATATGGTATTACAGGTCTTTTGGACGTTGTGAGTTCCACTTCAAAAAGTATAACCCCGTCATCAGTCGAGGACACGAATGCTGAAATTACATTGGACTCTGTACGGAAAGACATGCAAGCCAAATGGTCTTATAATAACAGCCAAGATGCATTAACAGAGGAGGAACAGAAGGAACAGGACCGACTAGTTGAGGAAGAATATAACCGGAGGAAAGCTGCTCAGGAAGACACAAAGACGAAAGCTGCCACGGTAATGAACAATGTTGTAGCCATTGTCTATATATACCTACTTATCATTATTTCGATCGTTCGATGTTAGCCTACTCCTATGCTGTATCTTTCGCAGCCAAGGAGGACACAAAAACAAAAAATTTGTGAGTACATGTAATTTTAATGCGATTATTCTCTTTTGCTTAAGCTAAGAGGTGTTTACAAATTTGGCACCTTTTTCTTTCTTGGAATAATGTTTTTGGTGTATAAAATGTATCTCTTTCAACATCACATACTTTAGTATTTGCTTTAAATCATCATTTCGAATTCACTTGCAGGCCGAGACAGGAATACCAGAACTTTTTGACATCATCGAGAGAGTACAGGCGCTATTGGCGGCAATGATACAGCCAGGAGAACCCGCTGTCGTGATCAAACGAGATAACTGTGTGATTACAACAGAGAAGTCGAGACTCCAAGACCTAATGAATAGTACAAGTCTCAACAAGACAGATTTCGGGATAGATTTTGGAAACTCATCATTGGACGGATTCACCGCAGTGCAGTTAGATGTAAGTTATCCAGAATGCAGTAAAACCACTAAGTTAAGAGTCTTCACATTTTGCGATTGAGAACGAAATATCATTTTCCACGATTCTTAAATTTTATTATTGTTTTAATTTTGATAGAAATTATTCCCATTAGTGACATAAATTTGTAAATGAATCTCCTTGAAATTTAATGCAAATATATTTCTCGTGGAAAAGAAAAGATAATTATAGTAATAAAACTTAATACAAACTTCAACTGCCACAGGTCTCTGAGCCGACGTCGTGTTTTCCTACATGCTAGTCGTAGAGAGGCGGTTTATCTCTTCTTTTTTTTTATAGATAAAGATATATAGAATACAGATGTATAGATTTCAGAATTATTCCCAACGCATGAATTTATACGCTGCGATCTGTTTAAAGAGTCGCAACGCGATCATTTCCATACGCACACAAATACCCCTTTTACCGTATTTCATATAATAACCCTCTCAATATATAACCTGTACATCATTATCTTGAAAGATTATTTCATCGATAAATAGACGCACTAATACAAGGTAGACTGTACACATACGTAACTCTTCTTATTACACGATCCGCTTCGCAGAAAATGTAAGAGATACTAACACTCCATTATGATAGGTAGCAGTATACAGTAGAAATGGCCCGACTCTGATAAACAAGGCACATGTCGAGGAAATGTAAACACAGCGGATTTACCCTACGCAACACATGTATATATATTTGTAAACTGCATTACATTTACAATACATATAAAGTACTGAGAAGTGTATAAACCTCTTTTTTCTATGTATGTCACTTGTGTGAAAACCATGGTTACCACATCAAAATTTACCAAAAAATGCCCAAAATTGCTATTTTTGACCCAAAATTTGACCCCCGCAACTAGTAATTCTTTTCCTACGCTCTATCTGAAATTAAAGATTACCTACCTGGTTGCAGAATTATCTGGGTCCCAGTAAAGTTTTAAAAATTCATTTTTTGCAATTTTGCGTCGTGTGCTGTTGTCAAACTTTTTTCGAACCAAAAAATGTTTCTTTCTTTTTTACAAATGTGAAGCTCACATAGCCCACTTTATCATGCTTATACCAATTTTAGTACAGTTTTATTTTTATATTTTTTTTATATATAATTATACAGGGGTTAGCCATTTAACAAAAATATCACCCATGGCCACAACCCTTTACTGTATACTGCTACCATAGTGCTATTTATGCTTGCATGTGTCCATTTCTCATGACAGACATCGACATTTGACAAGGTCGTTCATTTCTTCGGCGACAACGCTGGAGGTATAACATCCGGAGAATACACTGTTTCTTTGAAAGACGAAAACGGAACTGCAATGGCGATGAACACAACGCTGAACATCAAGAACAAAGGAGCGGGCGTGCCGTTCTCCAACCACATGCCTACGATGAGTGAGGACGGTTTGACGCACATAAGGTTCGACCTAAGATACCGGGACGATGCAGCACTAATCTATATTCTGCCTAAGGATTTCCTTTTTGCAGATTTAAATTCATTCAACCTGTACAACGTCTACGTGCGGTGCATCGACTTTGCACGTGTGGACGTCTACGACTACAAGCATGTTATGAATGTACGAGATTGGGAAGAAGATTACGGGTTTAAAATCTTCGTTCCACAAGACATCTGTGCAGCGGGTAAAACCTACGTTGGTCTGGAGCCACAAGAAGGTAATGATATGTTATCACTTACATACCTTTACCACATAATAAACTGTGTTATCCAGTGAATATACTTTTGCGTATCAACCCATGTTATATGATCTATCAGCTCTGTGATTGGTTGTAAGTTTCAATTGTTTCAATTGTGAGGTCACACCTAGGACAAGTACATGACGTCACATACTGACCAACTGGAGTCAAAATGGCGGCTTTTTACTGAATGATCCAATTTCCGTTTTGAATTAAAATTAAAATTATTGCAGGTTGTTAGCCATTGTTAAAATACCAATTGTAATATTAAAAGTTATTATTATTAAAACAATGATATGACGTTACAAACTCTCTTTGAAATAGGAAAATGCTGAAGAGTTGTAATTTTATATTTAAAAAGGCATTTCTTTATGAACTGAAGATGTTTTTTTCATTAGAATATTATTAAATCTCCTTCATATGATAAAAAGTTTCATAAAAAAACATATACTAATTGAACTCTTATCAAACTCTCTAATCATTGTTTGTATATATACACATCTATCTATCTATTTACGTTTCGGTTTTTACAGAATTCATGTTACCGCCTATATCGTCCAGAATGAGGAGGAAGCGTGCAGCCGCCACAGTAACAACTACAGAAGCACCATTCCAGATGAGCACAGCCAATTTTAGCACCATTATCATGACTACAGGTTGTCGTAGCTGGGATCAAGCCAATAATGAGTGGACGTCCCAGGGTTGTACTGTACGTGCATTCCAACAAACAAGATACCATAAACTACTACTAATTTCAAATAATTCAGTAATAACTGTACACCGGGATGTTTTCGCCGTGACATACATGTACTTACGCCCTTCGCCAGAATAATTCATATTCGCACCGTGTAAATTTCGTCCCTTTAGATTACTATACATACTGTGTTGTTTACTAATGTTCGCTGTAATGATTAATTCGCCCTCATCACGGTAGGCAAAAAAGGCGAAAATTAAACTGCAGCGAAAAAGTAACGGGAAAACAGTATCTAAAAAGATGGCTATTTTAATTGTACCACAGGGAAGTCCAATTTATTTTTGCAAGACCTTTTACAGGTGTTACCTTTTTCAACTTTGAATGAAACCGTCTGTCGATGTCCAGAGGCTCCAGGAAATACTTTTTCCACGACCTTTTACGTCCCTCCAAACACCATCGACTTCAACACAGTGTGGTCCAAGTTCGACCCAGCCAATGCCTCGGTGTATGGTACAGTCATAGGTCTACTGGTAGTATACGTCATAGCCTGTGTGCTGGCCAATCGAGAGGACAGAAAGGACTACATGAGGGTAGGTTATTTTTAATGATTATTTTTATTTTTATTTACATTTTTGCAGTCAGGATGTCAGCCTTGTTAACCTATGGGTAAAAGGATAAGTCACACGGAAGGTTTTTTTCCGCCTTTTATGTTTTTGTGTTATTTTTTTGTGATAAACCTTAACTGACTTCTTTTATTATTATATACAATGTACAACCAACTTGATTTTGAAGTCTTGTGTTTGCATTTGTTTCAGTGGGCAACTCATTTCCTGTGCGATAGTGACAGCGAGGACAGATATTTCTACCTTATCACTGTCCACACAGGGCTAAGGGGTGGTGCGGGCACAAAGTCTTTGGTCAACTTCGTTCTGGCAGGAGAGGAGATGGACACAGGAGTCAGACTCCTGAGTGATGGCGATAAACAGGTATTCAGAGTCTTTCTCTTGCAAGAAAGGAAAGTATATAAAGATACTGGTTACAGTGACAATGCATAATTTAAGTCCACTCGTCGAGTTTCGATTTTCATCTGTCCGACATGTTTCATACACCTTTACAGTTAATGGATCGTTTATTGTGGTGATTAGTAAATGTGTTTGTTTACCGGAACAAACTAAATGGACATTAGAATAGACGTGCTTTCACCTCTTGTCTCCTCTTTTTTTCTCATGCGTCCAGGGTAAACAGGCGATTCTTTTGTGTATCAAGTTCTGATGTAAAAACAAACATCTTAAACAGGATGTTTGGACGCTTATTGATATTTCAGCATGTCTTTATTGATTACAAAAAGATTATTTTTCTTGTATCAATTTCAATCTTCGCAGTTCTCAGTTAAACGATTTTGTTATCTTTAAGGGTTTTGAAACAAGCAGCGTACGAAAGTTTTTCATGGGGACCCCAGAGCCACTTGGCGACCTGACTTACCTCCGGATTTGGCACGACAGTTCAGGCCGAGGCGATAATAAGTCCTGGTACCTGCACAAGATCACAGTTGACGACCCCCAGATAGGTCAAAGGTTGGTGTTGGTAACTGTAGCAGGGCAAGCAACATCACTTGATAAACTTTGCATTTCAACAAAAAAAAAATCGGTAAAGATAATGATCAAATTATTCGATGTGCACAAGAAAATATATATTTTTCGGAAACACCTAGCTACGCTTCTAGTTTTCGTTTTTGTTTTGATGTGTTTTAAACATCAACATTTTACTGGGATTGACTAATTTATTTTCATTGAGTTGCACAATCGGAACTATCTGCATAACGTCTTTCCTCTCTTAAGAGCCTAGGAGGGCAATACGCCTCTGAATATATGAAAATCGTCCCTATTTAATCTTTTTCGTATATATATTTTTTCTACCCTGCTTTCGCGAATGAAGAGGGACTGGGAATATGACACATCCCATCAATTGTCAAAACGTCTAAGGTTATTGCAATCAAATAACTGAACGGTTTTAATATTGGGTTATTTCAACAATCTAAACATGAATCTAAAAGGAAAATGGAAAATAATTATTCTTAGCAAAATTAAGGTATTACATTATTATATCAATGACATGTTCTTATATTTCTAAAGGTACGTATTCCTTTGTGATAAATGGTTGGCTGCAGAACGAGACGATGGAATGGTTGAGCGACTACTACCAGTCTGTGGCAGGGATAACCTGCTCACCTTCGATAAACTCTTCTCTCAGCATGCTCGCTTCAACCTTACGGAAAATCACCTGTGGCTTTCAATGATCATGAGGCCGGAGCAGAGTAGCTTTAGTCGAGTACAGCGTCTGTCCTGTGTACTCGCTCTACTTTTCCTAACGATGATCGCAAATGCCATGTTCTTTCGATCGGAGGATGACGTTAGTCCGAATGCTGTTTCCATCGGATTCATTCGATTTTCACTCACCACTGTGTACGTTTCCTTTATTGGTATCCTTATAACGACTCCCCCGATTCTGCTGGTCACCTATATCTACAAAAAGGCAAAGCCATCCTATCCAAAGAACAAGAAATTGTCTAACAAGAAAGAAAAGGAGATTCGCAACATATTCCAAGCAAAGACCATTATGAACCAGAATGAACACTTTTCGGATTCGCAATTTTACTCTGTTGATCATTTGCCTCTTCCAGCCTGGTCTCGATATATCGCTACGACTATTGTCATTTTGGCTGTCGTCACCTCTGCTTTCTTCCTCATTCTCTACAGTATGGAGTGGGGAAAGGATAAATCAGAGGAGTGGCTGTCAACGTTTGTCTTCTCTTTCTTTGAATCCTTACTTGTCGTGGATCCTTTCAAAGTAAGTGTTTATTTACACACACTGGACTACTTCGTAATTTTTTATTATGTATATTTTAGAAATTATGTGATATTGAATTATGATTTTCTTTAGGAATTAGCATTACGATATTTTAACATTAATTATGGCCCTTTGCATTTTTAGCTGGTAGATAGTGTTAAGCATATATATGTGTTCCATTGCATCCCATTCTGCCCCGTACCAATTTAGTGACAATGCTTAATTTTGAAGAAGACTGAGTCAATCCTTACACACAAATAAAAAAAGATCATACATTAAACGAGTTGGCATTCAGGGTGGAAAGGTAAGACATTGCTTATCATTAAAACGCTGGGATAAAAACTGGCAGCAAATTAAGTGTCATCACTCTACCACTTTCTCTTCTTAAAATTGTACTATTTAATTTCATTAAAATTAGAAAATTGTCAAATAATGACTCTAACTGGCATGGGAACAGAGGCAATCATATCGTACAATTTCTGGTTATATCTATATGTCTGACTTAAGCTATAGTGTAAGACATTATAAGGGGAAGTGACGATTAAAGAATGTTTCTGACGGCATATTAACCTTGGTCCAATCAGGTGATTATGATCGCCGTGCTCTTCGCACTACTGTTCAAGAAGCCAGTTGATGCAGGAGGGCCACAGCTTAAGATGGATAAACTGAGACACGCCGCAAAAGCCTTCAATGCTGGTTCATCCAGAACATATCTGTGTAGGTAAAAAGTTTAGGTTATGAAGCATTGGTAGAGCAATAGACGCAAAGTATGAATGAGACGATGACACATAGCTCAACATTTACAAATGATTTTATCTAAGTAGAGAAAAGGACGAGGAAAACGAACAAATCCATACGACAATGCAAGACACTGTATGCAATTCTTCTTACGTGAACTCCATTTGCACTGATCTCATTGCAGAAGGGCACATATGATATAATAGATGCATATGGCGAAAATAAGGTTCAACTATGAAATCGGATATATAAAGAAGGCCATATATATATGCCTATTACCTACAAAGGTGACTTATTATGATATCCATTCTTTTTCCTGTGATAAATGCAAAACAACACTTTTGTAGATATTTCAGGTTGTAGTTCTCTGAGTTTGATGTCTATTTAATAGCTTTCCGAATGGATGTATTATCAAGTAACAGTCCTCCCTCGACAGAAATGCTGGAAAAAACAAGGACTCAACGTTTGAATGAAATGAAAGCAAGAGAGGTGTTCATGGAACTTGTTCTCTACGGTATATTTGCTTTCGTCATATACAGCATAAGCTTCGTGAACCGTGACCAAAGATCCTACAACTTAAAGTCAAACATCTATGAATCTCTTGTTGCTCCCTCCAAAACTCACTTGGGCTTCAGTAAGGTTTGTACATATGTAATAGATACGTTTCCTTTAATCATTTCAGTATGTCTTGTACGGGAATGTATTTCTGAAGAGAACATTGATACGAATGAACGACATTAATCTTTTAGGGACATTTTTATTGAAATAAATATGCAGCTTACTCTCGTTGTGAATTGTTAAAAAGGTAACCTAAAGTTCACTTTTAAATAAAATTACACCGAAATCGAAAGTACCGTTCGCTATTTATATTTGCTATGCATTATTTAAACATATAAACTAGACAAGCAAATTAAATAATTAAGATTTTATATCTCAAATGCACAAAAAATATCATCATCGGTTTCGGTGCTTTTTATGTTACAGCGCGGTTATTTTATCAGGCATTAGACCCGACACAGGGATATTATAAGACGTTAAAGAAAAATAATATACCATTCAAGAAAATCTATACTAAAACACGTTAAAACATATAATAGATTCTTATATTAATAAATTAATAAAATCAATTTGAAATTTAAAAGATTGATTAATAAAAAAAATCAGCAAATCAATGAAAAGTTGTCTTTCTTTGAACACTGGACCACAGTCGCCGCGCTGAAGCCGATGCCGGTTATTCCTGGCAGAATCATGATTGTTTGTATTTTATTAAGAAATACATATATCAGTTGCTAGATTTTTTATTTCCATAAGTAGATGTTGATCAAGGTCATTGGTGAGCTCAAAACCTTTGAATTATCTCCCCTCAACAATATGCACACTTGCAAAAGCTAAAATTAGAATGCCTTACACAGTATGCATGTGATGCCTGCTTAAATATTCCCGTACCACTGCCAAAATAACGGTGCCTATGCATTTTAGATTCTATCCCGGGATGACTAAAGTTTTGATAAATCGTTACTGGAAAAGAAACTTCTGTTTTTCTATCTTTAATGAGATATTTTTCAAAAAAAGTTGCAATTCGTTTTGAAAGTAATTCTCATTACAGAAAGAATAACAAAAAGGAATCTTCAAGCCTGTCCAAAATGTAAGAATTCCATAAGTCCGACAAGGACTCTAAACCTGGGAACTAATTGAGCTACCTTGTCAAAAGTAGTAACATTACTCAGTAGCGCTATATTTATATTAAAAGAGATGGGGGAAGGGTAGCTGTACATGCATATACGAAAAATAACGGTGGCAAGCAAAGGTACAGGGATCCGTAATTGTTTCAAATTATCGCCTTTTCGAGTTTACAGAAGAGACCACGTGATTATTATTAATAGATAACTCTGGTTTTCAAAGCCTGTGGGTATTTTGAAAATAAACTGCATTAAACAGCGTTTATTCTTAATTCTTGTGTTGTGTGAACAGAATATTTTAGAGGTTAATGCCTTGTACTGTCAATCACGTTTTATACTTTGTTATACATATTATTTCAACTTATATTATTACATATTAGATGACATCCACTTACACTTTTCCTTCGTCCACATTGGCTGGATCTTAATAACGTGGAGGTCGGTAGTTTGTGATATTGACTCGGAATAACTATTTTTAGAAACAGCCGGTCAATATTTACTTTATAACGTCGTTCTAGTAGTTTAATGATTTAAATTTTATTTAACATTTATTCTAACATTTAGGGACTTTTATTTCGGTTAATATGTGATTATATGGACATGAAACATTGACTTCGACTTCGTCTCGGTCAATATCTCTTTCTCGATTCGTATAACAACATATTCAACTCGACAAAAATCCATAATATATATAAATTAGATACTTAAACATTTTCAAAGATTTTTTTCTCTTTTTGGAAGAAACTGTCCAAAATGAGCGTGCGTAATTTAAGTGTAAGCATATGCGTTACGAGTATTTTGTTTTTGTCAGGTGGAAGATGCGATTGATTTCGTAGACTGGATGAACGGTACATTCTTCACGAGATACTTCCCAGAGGAGGAATATAACGGAGACCCCCTAGATGTGCGGGACAAAATGTACTTTTGGGATATAGCCAATGTTCGTATAGGTCCACCAAGGCTTCGACAAGTCAGAATGAAAAGAGGTAAGCATTATAAAAAACAGAAACAATTACATTTAAGTTCAAACTGTACATAAAAAACGCTCGAGAGAGGAAGCAATCCGCTTTGCAGGATCTTAGCGCCTCTTCAAAGAACTGTAACTATTGTATGCGCATAATTATAGCTTCGATAAATCATTTCTGAAAATAAAACCATATCTTACTGAACTTACATACGTATATATATATTTATCAAACCGTAAAAAGTGTACTGAGGAAAGAGCACGATTCCAACACTGGACCTCCGATCATTTAGTTCTGTCAGTAAAGTAAAATTAGAAACAATTTTGGCTAAGTCATAGCCATAATGAAGTGGAAGTAACTGTCATCCGAAATATCTTAATGGAATTTTGGAAAAAAATATTGCCTGCAGGGATTTTAAGGATGGTAGTTATGCAGTTTATTTCAGTTGGTATTTATAAATATGATCACTGTACGACAGATTTTATTATGAGGTCTTTCACGACGGAGGAAAGCATAAAGGAAGAATAATAATTATGTTAGTGGTAGATTCGAAAAAAATCTGTCTCTGATATTGGGTTGATTGTATTCTGAAAAGAGCAAAGGAAAAAACACAAACACAAACCAAAACAAAACATTAATCATATAAATAAATAAACTAAAGCAAACAAACACAAACGAAGCAGATTTCTGCGCGTTTCTTGTGTGCATGTTCCATTTGTCGTATGTAATCACTTTATGAAATAAGGCTGAATTGTCAATGTTACACTTGATGTGATTTTGTTTATTTAGGCGCCTGTCCGTATGACAAAGTGACCCCTGGACGAGAATGCATCCCAGGTTATGAAGTGACAACTGAGGAGGACAACGACTACTGTGTTGGGTGGTCCACAGACCCTGCCGGAAGTGGTTGTACCAATTCCAAGTTGTTTACTCAGAACGCCTGGACATATAAGCATTCCGAGGATATTTGGGGAGTGGCTATAGCTGGGAATTTCGAGGTTTATGGCGGAGGCGGCTATATTCTCAAATTTGAAAATGGACTGGCTACTTCGAGGCTTATTCTGGAAGAGTTAAAGACAATGAAATGGATCAATCGTGAGACCAGGGCCGTGTTCCTTGAATTCACCTTATATAACGCAAATACAAATCTCTTTACCTATGTTATATTCTTGGCTGAGTTTACGGAGCTCGGTGGTCTCGTTACGTGGAGCAACATTTACTGTTTCCGTGCCTATCAGCACACAGGTGCCCTCGGTACGTTTGCAATGCTGTGCTATTTCATCTACATGATTGTGATGATTTACGGGACGGTGAAACTGATACTCAAGTTCCGGAAAGCAGGTTGTTGTCAATTTGTTCAAGACGTTTGGAACGTCATTGATACTTGCTGTGCTTTACTCAGTTTTGTTGCGGTAGTGATGTGGGGTTTGAGGTATTCATATTCACAGCAGTCCCTTGCTGTCTACTACGATGATAAACGAGCTTTCATAAACTTTCAGCATGTCGTTATCTGGGACATCGTTTTTAACGTCATCACAGGCATACTGGTTTTCATAGCAACGATTCGGATACTGCGTATTCTCGGCTACAACAAGCGGATGACTCAATTGGCGGCTGTAATCTCCAACGCTGCAGCGGACCTCTCTGGGTTTGTTGTCGTTTTCGGTATAGTTTTCTTTGCCTACGTATCATTCGGATATCTCCTGTTTGGCATTTACATCTACGAATATAGAAATCTGTTCACGTCGCTTGGAAGTTTGGCAAATGCCCTGATTGGAAAGAACAGTCTGGACTCCATGATTAGGGCTGTACCGAATTGGTCCCAGATGTACTATTTCACGTACGTCTTTTTCGTCATCCTTACGCTGATGACAATGTTCGCCGTCATTCTCAATCAGAGTATATCGGAGGTGCGTGCAGACCTGATGAAGGTTCCACAGACGTACGGGATTATGGATATCCTTGGAAACTCAGTAAAAGACATACTTGGCGTGGCCTTCAAGTTCAAATCTAAGGGAGAGCCAGAGAAAGAGAATTCAGCGAGGAGTAAGTATTCGTAAACATTCGTTGGCATTGATAAGATAGCTGCTTTACTTACATTGTATAATGGCTTCGAAAATAATTGAGTTCTATGTTCTGCCTAAGTAGTGCTACACATTTTGTGTTATCAGCGGAAATCACACATATTAATGAATGCATGAGCGTGTTGTTAAAAGCATGAAAGACTTTTTCATAGTTTTGTTATCCTGAACGAAGTATAAAACGTTTACTTGTAAGTAGGTATAAACTGAAAACAGAAAATGATGTTTAAGCAAAATAACTGATGAACTAGTTATTTAAATGAATCTTTTTTCTGTTTTATCATCAGCTTTCTTGTGAGCTATACTGCTTCACTTGGAATATAACACTTGTCCATTCTTAAACCATTATACCTGTTGCATATGCATATGAACTGCATTTTGACTTTGCTAGCTCCTATATTCAATGGGGCGAATAGTTTACGTTTCTAGTTACGGGATACTCACATCGAAATTAATCTATGTCAAATTAAATTCCATGCTTGTAACATAACACTAAAACGCCTGGATATTATTTTAAGCGCTTCATTAAATTATTTAGCATTGGCAGCTAGGCTTGTTGTCAGTAGTTTTTATTGAATTATATATTTGTTTTGTTTGATGTACACTGATAAGATATATGACAGGATTATTAAACACCGTTTTTGTTTTCATATATCATGGAAGCTTTGCAGTGAACATGTTGTTGCATGACAAAGCGAACAATTATATATACCACACTTTGTTTTGATAGAATCATCCGTACAGTCATTCATTGATGTATGCATTAGATTTTATTATATATCAATATCTATATAATGCAGACAAAAAGACTCCAGAGGGGGAGACAAAAAAACCAAGGTGAAAACCGGAAGTGTAACTCGTGAACAAGAGTTTCACTACTTTGCACGAAACGATGTTTTTGATTTTAGAATTATTGTTGGCTGTTAATATCTTTATATATCTTGAGTTTTATTTGTCTAGCTTATATGCGTCAAAAACGTCGTTTACCTGCATGGGTATTTTGCATGATTTCAATGTGAATAACATCCTTACAATTTCTAGATATTAAAGCCTGTATCGACCTTCATATCTAGTTCAAATCTTAACGAAAATAATACTGGTCTTATTTGAAATGGCAGATAATCAGCTGCTGTCAAAAAGCATTCGCATTTTGCATGAATATTTTTTTCCCAAAAAATATATATCGCATCAGATATTTGTTTTCAGTCTATAATACTTGAGTGCATGTATATTGCGATTTCAAATTATTTACATTTACATACATGTATTTCAGTTTGAGTTTAACTTCAAAAATTTGCACAAAACATAATACTGCATGAATCAATCATGAAGCGCCTGCGATCGGTCACCCTTGTATTGAAAAGCATAATAACTACATGCTAATAAAACAGAAAAAAATCATATACATGCAATGAGTCATATTTTCTTATGGAAGCACATTTAGGCATGCCGCATGTCAATATGACTAGGAAACAATGCATGCAATAGGTCACAATTTCTTGGATAAAAACATGAATAGTGCATGTCAATATGGCAGGAAATTCCATGTTTACAATGCCATGGTTTCTGTGATAAAACATTAAAAAATGCATGGCAAATTGGATTGAAAACAATGCATGCAAGAGATCACAATTTCTTTGATAAAACATGAATATTGTATGCCAATTTTTTGTAAGGAATTCAATTCACGCAAAGGGTAATAGTTTGATGAAACATAACAACTGCATGTCGAAAAAGGCTTTGAACAATGCATGCAAGAGGTCACATTCATAACACATATTATTAATAATAATCCATTATGCTTCGCATGACTGACTGAGTTGATTTTTCTATCTTTTCATAAGTGTGGGATAAAACATTTTTTAGGGGTAATTAGCTTGAGTATTCTATAAAGAAATGTTTCGATTTGATATAAAGATTTATGATAAAAAATTACAGTATATTTTTTCGCGTTTCCTTAATTTTCGTGGTTTGCAAAATTAGTCAATTTTGCGGGATATATTTGTCGCAGATAAGGGGGTCTCGTGGCCATGGCAAATATTTCTAAGATAAGAATGGCTTAATTTGCGATTAATTTAGCTAAATTCGAATGCTGAAACATTGTCACAACAAAAATTGCGAAAATTAGAACCCCGCAGAAATAACCACATTTATAGTAATATTCATAAACNGGGGGGGGAGGGGGAGAGATTCAGAAATACAATAAAAAAATAATGAGTGTATGATGATAGGATACGTGTACCCTATAATCTTAATCAATCAGTTTCATCCTATTTTTCTGTATTTGAGAATATGTTAACTTTTTTTGCACGTTTATTTTTTCCGCGAGACCTAATTGCTTCTACAAATTCCTCCCCGCAGAATACATGCCTGCTGTAGGGAAAAGGCCACCGGAGATCGATGCCCCCAACATTCTACGACTAGTTAGGGAAACATTTGGGGAAACATGGGATACAGACGTAAGTATTACGACAATAGACGTTGCACTTGGCAGTCTAAAGCAGTATAGCAATAAAGGTTTGAATTTTATTTAAAAAACGCAGAAACTATTCAGATTTGTTCTATAAATCAATGGATGGACTTTGTAAGATGATAAAAATATGTTGAAAAGACTTCATGATCAAAAATACATAGATTTACTCTAAAATATCGTATTGCCATTCTCGTGTCGCTTTTAGGACGTAAATAGATAATTTAATGATTATACACAATTCAATCAATATGGAAACATAATATGCAAACAAAATGTGTACTGATTTTTTTCTACGGGTTGTCTCCCTTTGTTCATGTTTTAGGAGCAGCCACCAGACGAGGAGGAATTGATGAGAAGGAAGAAAGCGGAAGAACAACTTCTTATTCTTGATTCATTCCTTCACCCAAAGCCCGGGGCTAAGGGAGGCATGGGTGGAAAATTGGATCTACATCGACCGGGGACCCCGGGTGACGTCCGTTTGACAGTGGAGACGCCCGATCTCGACCAGGACCAGCTCTACTCCTCCTACTTGTAAAGTGTTCCCACGTAAAACAGTTTATAAAGTGTTCCCGTAGCGTTGTTATAGCAGCAAACACCTTGACATAGAAGACTGTGATACATTTAGTTGGCTTTAAATGGTATTGTTTGTTAAATTGATTTATACATATTTATTTGTTAGATCATTTTTTTGTCTTTTTTTGTGTGTGACGCACAGTTCAATACTGGTAAGATGTAAGATAACGTTTTTGCTATTTTAAAATGAGTGAATAAATTAGAAACTGAAAAGAAGATCGGAAAAATATTGAGTTCGCAATATTAACCATCCATATGTATTAAATTCAATATTACCACGGGAGTTTGGTAAAGAGAGATGTAAACATGTATCTTAAATACATATTCTTTTATGTTTAGTTATGTTTTCCTGTAAAATTAAAATGTATGTCTGGTTTTTTTTATAATTTTCTATAGTATATCGAATAGATTGGATTAAATGATAATATGAGGGGCCTTAAAATAACTGCTGTGTGATCATCGCCGATGCTCAAATCTATCTTGAAATTCCAATGCATTTTTTTAAATGGATATACTATCAATGCTGTTTTATTTATTGTTACATAATTGAAGTTTAACTACCGTAAAGTCCGTCCCCTTGGCCTGCAGGCATTCAATATCAATTACCTATTCAGAAAATATATTTGAATAATGCTCTTTTTAAAAAATGCTTTTATAATTTCTTTAATTATGATACACTTTAATAACTTTGTATATGTAAATTATTTTGTTAAATATGTTTCGATATTTCACCTGAAATTTAAATAAAATTGTTTGTGTTAAAATCTTGCGTTTTTTATATCAATTTCTTTGTTGATTCATCTAAGTCCTTACTTTTTCGTAAAGCATCGATGTCAAATTTTATCTTTAAATAAGACATCGATTCCATTGTTTATAAATAAACCATATATTCCGCACTAATCGTCCCAATTTTTCGGGTTATTTTTACTATAATTGATCCAGTTTACAAATAAGGCGCTTGCTTAAAATGTTCACTTTACTCACTGTATTTCTACGAAATGTCGTAGGTTTATTTCATTTGAGTTTGTTAATAGTTTATTGATGCATTTATAAGGGCTCGTTGTATGAATAATCAAAATATAAGAATCAGGATTTCGTAAAATTGGAAGATAAACTGAAATTTATATATTTGCATTAAAATCCTATCACTTAACTACAGTTTTGACAAAATATATCACTTATATTATTTTAAAACATGACAAAAAGTATTTTATGAAAAAAATTACATTAATTGTCCGGAATCAATGACAGATCATTCAAACTATTTGCGTTTTATATGAAATGTGGATGTTCTATAAATGAGCAAGCTGAAGCCGATATACCAGAAGAAAACTCAATAAATATCTACGCAATCCCCTAAAAAACTAATCTTGCGATCAGTTGAAATTTGAATGCTGACGTGTGTACTAAAAATAACGTAAAATACGTGCAAACTAGATGCGATAACGGAGTAAGTTTTTTCTGCAATACAAGTAGTCCCTGCTTTTTCTAAGTGCATTTTTGGAAATTATGTAGTCCAGCAACTGTCTTATTTTCGTTGAAAAATTAAGAAGCTAAGGTTTGTTCCTGATTTATCAAAGTTGCACTGAGACAGCATAGATGAGAATATAGAAGCTAGACTGAACTCTGTCAGGAACATTTTGAAGGTAGTTTCTTCGTCACCTTTTCTATCAAGAAAAGTCTTGGTTCTCCGTAAGCAGGGAAAAATAGATTGTTACTACCAAGGAACGGAAAGTAAACGACAATATTAAAAAAAAATCATATAATTTTACCTCACCAGTTCGAAATGTGAGTTTATGCATAACGTGACAATCGTCGTCTGTTCGTTCGTTATTGTTTCTTATTTCTGAATGAAATTTACCAAAACCATTGTCCCCTAGGGGGTTGTGATTTTATTAGTGTACAGATGAGATGAGAGGAAATTGGGAGTAGTTCGGCCATATTGCTATTGGAAAATGGGTGGTCGAGTGGTGCAGTGGATAGCGCACTTGCCTTTCAACAAGGCGGGTACTCCTGTTATCTTCCACATTTATACCCTGAGCGCGCTAACATCCGGGTTAAAAATACTGATTGATAGTTGAAATAACATTTTCATAATTTTTGTAACATAATGAAATTTATGTATAATGTTCTTCTCTTTAACTATGAGAGGTGGATATAAACCTTATTTGGATGGAAGCAAATAAGTTGGAGATGATTTTATGATTAACGAACCGAGGGACGGTCGGCCTACGGCACAAGATCGTCGAGCATACGACCATGTCGAGAGTAGTTAGCTGTTGACCACAGCAAGATCGCTTAGCCTACGACCATGTCGAGAGTATTAAGCTGTTGACCACAGCGAAATCGCCTAACCTACGACCATGTCGAGAGCATCTAGCTGTTGACCACAGCATAATCGTCTAGCCTACGACCATGTCAAAAATATCTAGCTGTTGACTACAAAAAAACGCCGAGCCTACGGCCATGTCGAGAGTATCTAGCTGTTGACCACAGCAAGCTCGCTTAGCCTACGACCCTGTCGAGAGTATCTAACTGTTGAACAGAGTAACATTGCATAGCCTACGGCCATGTCGATATTATCTTGCTTTTGACCACAGCAAGATCACCTAGTTTAGAAATATCCGCAAGCCTATTATAGCATCACACCACTCTCCTTCTTAAAAAACCCCGTTTTGATGTTTTAGCGGTCAACAGCCCAAGACTCTGGAAAAGGCCATAGTGACAAGGCCTATTAATGATATGAGTACCAGTATCGCAATATATACTATGTATATATAATCAGATATAGACCCATAATCAGATATAGAGATATACATTGATAATTCAATTGTTCATTAGACACAATACACTTACGACAGATAGTTCAACAGACAGTAGTGTATAGGATATAATGCATTTTCATTCATTGAATAATGACATAGAAACACAAGCATCGAAAGAAGACAAACCTGGCTCGTACCCTGTCTGGTTCTCGAACTCACGACTTGCGGCACCAAATCGCCTAGCCTACGACCATGTCGTGCTTATCGGTCTGTTGACCACTGCAACATCGATATCATTTAAAAAAAAGCAAAGATGAAGTGGTAATTGTAGGAGCTGCGACTGTCTCTAGACTAGACCATTTTGTGCTGTATGTCACGAGTTCAAGGCTCTGACAGGGCACCATTCATCAATTGTCAGTTAGAAGACATTTCAGGGTTTCCTCCCTTGAGTCAGCCTCCGCAGCATAAAGTCATCTGTTTTTGAAACGACCTATACATGCCACTTCACAGTATTCCACAGAGGTAATATACAGATAAACAACGAGAAAATATGAATTCGAATTGATGTCTCGCCTGTGCCCCGCTTTGACCATCAATGTTGATGGAGGTGCTGACAAAGTCAATGGACCATGAAAGGTAAGCCGCCATCAGCATTTCATGCATGAGTTGAGATGTACTACCCAAGATGCATCCATGGTCCAAGTATGGTTGGTCTAGCACTTATACTTTAAGTGAAACTAAATTAAACGCAAACACTTAATGTTGACGACGCCGCCGTAGCCGGAAAAGCAACACATAGGTCTCGCTTCTGCTACTTCGTCACGACGCGACAAAAAACTACTGTGACTAAGTAAAATAAAGTACCGGGTCCTAGGACAAATATAAAAATCTAAATAACAAAGATACGTGACTAGGAATATGTGAATAGATATTTTGGTATACCACTAAATACCATTGCTATCGCTAAAAACATATTCGTAAGGTCAAATGAATATATATAAAAACACATCCTCTTTTTACGCATCAGTAAAATCTTCAGCATTTGATTTATTGCTGGCTCAGACACGGGCATTTGACCCCTGGTCCACCATCAGCGATGCTTGCTAAGAAATTGAAACCTGGTTAGATTCTGGAGACTTGACAATCCGTTTGTGATTGAACATTTAAAAGCATGTAAATCAAGTAGTTTATAAAATCAGAATAAGATCATTAATATACTTTAAATATGATATGTTAATCACTTGCCGAACGCATAAAAGGCTGGGGATTGCAGGGTCCGTATTCATGAAACTGTTCTCATGCTCAAGCATGGATTCTGTGCTCAAACTAATATTCTTGTACATATTTACCTTGCTCAAATAATGTCAAACGACCAAATAGTCAAATGTAAAAACTTTAAACAGTATTCAGCTTAAAGTCTCTTCAAAACTTTTCAAAATCATTGACAACAAAAATGTGTTACATCTACGTAAGTACATGTATATATTTCAAAAGAATGCGTGCATCTATTTTTGTCTATATACAAACAAAGAATCTGGGTTTTTTGTCATTGGATTTTGCTGTCTACTCAATTATTAATTTGGAAAAAAACCCATCACATTTTAAATAAATTGTCCATTTATGTGAACTTTTCATAAATATTAATTTTTAGATTAGGAAATTTAATAAGAAAGATATAATAAAGCCTTAACACACGTTGTCAAAGTCAGTACTTTAAGTTCATACCAAACGACAAAATATATAGGAAAACAATTATGATTCAACGATCCAAGGGAGGCAAAATTAAATGCTCTAAACAGTTTCTGCTTTACTGTCGTATAATTTAAAATCAGGAGTCCCCAGGTGTCACATACAATATATTACCAATATTTGGACATGTAAGAAAATGAAATTTCATCATAATCAATAAACGGTAAGGGATGTTAATGTAGCTCAACACAATTGATGTGGCTGACTGCTAGACGAGTCGATAACAATACCATTTTATTTTTAGGAAATTTACGGCCTTAAATGACCGAATTGGACGTTAAACAAAATAAAACCAATTAAAGGAAATGTAGGGAATGACACACATATGAAGATCATTATCAGTTCAGTGGTACGTTTATTATGTATTTGAACCGAATATACTTTGTTACTCATGTAGCGTATCTCCCATATCAAATTATTTTATATCTTTGTACGTATGAGCCCTTTATTTAGGCTAACTATTAACATTATCATTTTCAATTATTTCAGAGTAAAATGACACATAGCAACCTGAGCGTAAAGTGGGTTGCGTGCCTTTTTTGTTAAAGGAGATACAATTCATTGATTCCTGTCAAACGTTTTCCATGGATATCGATCAGAAAAGTGTCATAATTTGAAATTTTCCTATATTCATATCCTGCCCCCGTGTCAAGATTCTTTTGATATGCTATAAATGTCTAGTTTTGTGAAATGTTGCACGTTGTATACAAAGCTATTCAAATGGTACGTAGGGCTTACACTTAACAAAAACGCATCAATGATTGTATGTCAAAAGACCTTGTTCAATGTTCGCCAAACGCTTTTGTGAGGTAAAATTAAATGATTAAAATCAAATACATCATCACCTTCTCTACGACTCAGGAAGCAGGGTACTCCCCAGTCGCAATATGCTGGATGCAACGCCCACTGCGTTTACCTGAAGCCCATTTCTCATCTTTTCGATTTTATAAGTCAATGTTTTCCTTTTATCAACAAATGTGGGATTTAACATCTCATATAGCAATATCATATCGACACCGAATATTGTATGAATAATAGTTCATATACACGATCATCATCATGCGGTAATGAAAATCTAATAGGAAAGTAGTGATGTTTTATGTGTTAATGTGACGGAATGATGCAACCGAGTGCTCAAACCGTGCGCCCAGGGCAAAAACATATTATATAAAGTCTATATATAAAAAAAAATCATGGGGGGCGGAAGAAGAATATAAAATGGTATAGATAGGTGTATCTG